TATCTCCTGCAAAACTATTTATCGTCGAATAATAATAATAAAAGACTTTGGGCCGCACTTTATTTGGTGAGTATTATAGAAATTAATTTTAACGATTATTTTCATTTGGTAGTAACTAAATTCACTTTAACGTAGATAATTATTTTGTAATATTTTGATATTTGTTAAAATTCTAAATACAAAGAAGTAAAATTTCAGCATTTACCTGTAAAGTCTAGGTTTTACTGCACTAATAAACTGTCTAGGTTTTAAAATATATTATTTAATATTAATAATTAAATAACATTTTAATGGAATTGTATTCACAAACTGAATGTAATTCCAAAATTATTTATTTATAGATGATATGCAAATAATCTTATGAAAACTATAATTAACTTCGTTTACCGAATTCCAGCAATATTTGAAAACCATAATTAAATTTATTCTCTTTCGCTAAAGCCCCCTAATATCTGTTTTATGCAAATTAATTGCTTTTTCTCTAATTATTAAATATTTTGAAAGTAAATTAATTATTTAAATTAATGTAATTATATAAATTATAAAAGATATTTATATAAAGTTATAATAAAATTTATTTATTTGGATGATGTCGATGATTATACAATCACAGCCTCATCGCTCAGATTCAATGTAAGAATTATAATGAAATAAGCAATTGTAAATATTTAAATATATTAATGAAATTGTTTAAATATAAACAGGGAAAATATAAATATTTTTGGTATTTTATTTCTAGAATTTTAGGAACGCACTTGAAAATTATGATACGACGTTTGGAATTTTAATAATGGCTCGGAATGCCGTTTCGCTGATAATTATTTAAGTTAATGTCAAGTAATTTTAAACATTGCAATTAACACTTTTGCAACGTTTATATTTTTACAAAATTCTCCTTATTTCGTATCAAAAATGTTAAATTTATAATTTATAAACCTAAATTATTATGATTTAATTCCATGCCGTATGCTGTGTTAGTTAAATATTATTTTCCCCGCGATTATATGTAACAGGGGAAGTATGACGATCGTCAAAAATAACCTTCCCCGTAAGATTTTATTTTTAGGGCGCCTTAAAACGTCAAAAAATACCCCAAAACTCGGGTTTTTTTTCCTGTATGTATGATTGTTAGTCTGTGTGTGTGCATGTATATGTATGGGAACATGATTTTGTTAAGCCACTTTGAAGCTTAATAACTCCTGTGCCTTTTGTCGAAAATTTCTAAAATTTTGTAGGGAATTCATGCTATCAAATATAAAATTAATATAAAGTAAAAATAATCATATTTTTTTTACTTGTAATAAAATGAAAAAGTTGTAAACTTAAAAAATTATTATAGAATATCATGAAGCAAACTAACACACGTGTCCAAAACTCAAGGACGGATGACATTTGTACGTGAATAGAGAAAACTGTAGATAAATGCAGACAAATATGGCAAGAATTGTATTACTCGACGGATAATACAGGGTAATACACAACTTGTAGGATTTTACAAATCGAAGCAATAAAAGTGTTTGATGAAAAAGATACATACAGCAGTTGGACATAGACGGAGAATGTATAGAAATTGCTTACCAATACTTAGAGAGGCCTGTCATTATAAAATATGTCCACTTGGTGGCGTTGTGAGCGCTGCATCTCGAACTGAGATGCAGCGCTCACAACGCCACCGAGTGACTTTTTCTAGCTATCGTCACTAGCAATTGTAAGTTTTAGACACGTGTGTATTATACAAAACTGTTTCTAAATGTCTGAGAAATTGGCATTTTAAACTTTACATACGATAACATCTTTTAAAAATTCTATATTTTATACATTGAATTAATTATTTTTAATTAAATTTTATTCACGAATTTTAAATTTTAATACGATTTTAATTACATTGTCATTAAGAGTGCTTAACTATTTTTAATTGATTATTATTATTTTAACTAGAAGGAAAATTATCATATCAATGGATAAAAACGGTTGTAAAATATGGAAAAGTTCTACTTAAAAAGTTATAAAACTTCTTTATCAGCTAAATTATCATTCGAGCATCATTACTCAATGTTTTTATTGGGAATTTTAAAGGAAAATGTGTAATTAATATTGCATTAGTTGAACATTTTTATAACTGTGCTTCATAATTTAAACTGTATAAATAGGTAATATTTAATTAATATTCAAAACTTAATACAGATTATTTATGAAACATCTATTAAAACAATATATTTATAAGAATCACAATGAAAATTTAATTAATATTTTATTTCAATTTTTTTTTGTTAATGTGTTAATTAAGTAAAATGATATGATGAATAATAAAAGAAACTCTAATTATTTTTTAAAAAAAGCCAGGGCCTATGAGAGTTAGTATGAGACACGTGAGTAGATAAGATTTCTACCTCTTCTCTGGCCTCTTTAGTTATGTTTCGTTTTTTTTTTCTTTGAACAAATGAAATACGTATAAGTTTTCTTTATTAATAAAAAACAGTCTTAAAGATTCCATTTCCTAAAAAAATATTAAAGATTAAATACAAATAAAATCTGATGTCTTCACACATCCTTTACAACTATAGGAACACAATTAACAAAAGTAGAGTAGACCTTTCTTTTGAGCCTCTGATCTGCTTACGAATATGTAAACTGATTAAATTCTATATTCTGTTAGTAAATATAACATTAATTTTATAGGAGTAGTGATTATGAGCCCCTAAGTTTCCTTTGAAACAGGGGAAAACTTAGGGGCTCGTAGCGAACACCCAAGACTCGAGTGCTGCCACTTTTTCATAATTTTTAAGGATATTAGCAATTAAAACTGCATTGTTTCTCACTTTTTAGACATTTATTTATCATATTTGACTTTTACTGTAGAGTAACACTATATAATAACACAATAACCAAGTGGAGCATAACACCAAAATCCAATAACATATAAGAGCGAAGTCTATGATTTAATGGAACAGATATATATATATATATATATAAATAGACAAAAAATTCTTATAAAAATTCTAATGTGTTATTTTCTGTTGTAAGAGTTAAAATTTATATGCGAGTAGAAAGACAGAAAACACACGAAAGTAATCGATTTTTACTTTAGTTATTTAATTAAAAATACATCATCCTTAAGAGTTGAATCAAATTAAGTTTAAACGTTTCTAATTCAAATTTTGTTTTAGTCTATACTTATTTATAATTTTATTATTAACTTAAAAAAATTATTTATATTCAAATGTATAAGAATTTTTATTGTAAATGGCATAAAAACGATTCCTCACTCTCTGATCCATTAGGATCTTGAACATGAATAATCGATTATATTCTAACGTTACTATATATTGATTAATCAATATTCTTGATAAATTCAGAATATATATTTAAAAAAAAAAAATTAAATTTTCCAATTGGAAAAAGTTAAAATCCGTAAAATAAAACAAGATAACGATTTACCGTGTATAATGCGCACTTTTCTGCAAGTTTGCATGGGGAAAAATATTGATAAGGCGTTACTAATATATACTAATTTTATATCTATTTAAATGTTTTTAATTCTTTTATTTACGCTTACAGGAATAAATAACGACAGTGATGAAGAGTTCTTGACCTTCTGTAATGAGTAAATACTGTAAATTTTTTACCGGTACATAAAATTTCCTGTATTATATGTTGAAAAATAAATACTAAAATTCCTTTATAATACAAAAAACAAGTACGTAAATATATAAAAATTAAAACGAAAGATTTTTCCTTGGATCAAAAACATGGGTGCGCATTATACACGGAGAATAGGGTAATTTACTAATTTTCGTATGAGAACCATATAAATAAGTATTAAAATATACAAAAATATTCTTATTTATTATTCGCTGATAATTATTTAAGTTAATGTCAAGTAATTTTAAACATTGCAATTAACACTTTTGCAACGTTTATATTTTTACAAAATTCTCCTTATTTCGTATCAAAAATGTTAAATTTATAATTTATAAACCTAAATTATTATGATTTAATTCCATGCCGTATGCTGTGTTAGTTAAATATTATTTTCCCCGCGATTATATGTAACAGGGGAAGTATGACGATCGTCAAAAATAACCTTCCCCGTAAGATTTTATTTTTAGGGCGCCTTAAAACGTCAAAAAATACCCCAAAACTCGGGTTTTTTTTCCTGTATGTATGATTGTTAGTCTGTGTGTGTGCATGTATATGTATGGGAACATGATTTTGTTAAGCCACTTTGAAGCTTAATAACTCCTGTGCCTTTTGTCGAAAATTTCTAAAATTTTGTAGGGAATTCATGCTATCAAATATAAAATTAATATAAAGTAAAAATAATCATATTTTTTTTACTTGTAATAAAATGAAAAAGTTGTAAACTTAAAAAATTATTATAGAATATCATGAAGCAAACTAACACACGTGTCCAAAACTCAAGGACGGATGACATTTGTACGTGAATAGAGAAAACTGTAGATAAATGCAGACAAATATGGCAAGAATTGTATTACTCGACGGATAATACAGGGTAATACACAACTTGTAGGANTTACATTATTATCAATTCTAATGTTACATAATTATAATTGATTTTTTAAAAAATAAATTAATAATTATTAATATTTGTATATACATATACACAATATACTAGCTGAGATGTATAAAATACACGTATATAAGGGAAAATAATATATACAGTACTTACAATATAAGAGATCCGACCAAAAACAAATATAAATACATTGTATAGCCTGAGAAGAATTCATTCATTCTAACGTGATACTCGGACAGACAGATAAGAGGCATGAACTTAAAACTAACCTAAATCCTTCACAGGAGTATCTTGAATATACAGTAGAGCGTCGATTATCCGAATCAATTGGGACTGGGGTTGTTCGGAAGATTAATGTTTCGGATAACCGATTGTGCACGAAAAAATATATTAATTTATCCCATCTTGACATTTTTCTCCATTGTGTGTCGCTTCGCGTTGAATTTTCGTCGATGTNTATTGTTTTATGTATATACATATACATGATATGCTAGAAATACATAATTCCTAAAGGAATTACTAAAATACTGTGTATTTTTTGATCGTTGAATATGTTTATTCACACTAGTTAACAACTAGTCGCTCCTTGAATGCGTGACAAGAACTGTGAAAGCTTGAGTAATCAATCTTTATTCTACTACTTCGATTCCATCTTCTTACGTCAATTTATGCCAGTGACGTACTTGGCGATAACCAGCGGACATTGATTCATTCCAATGATCCAAAGGTTTACCACGGGCAAACATATAAGATCCTAACACAACTCGTCCTAAAATTTTATCTGCAATTATAATGAGAGAAAAATACATCATCATATACTATTGTATACACAAATATTAATATAATAAATGGCTAAATAATGTCATAAAACCTCTTTTGTTTTATGGCTCTCTTCATTTAAAAGTTCATATATTTTAAGGTTTTAATTATTTGGGGTAATGAGGTTTATCACGTGTAGTGGGGAATACTGAAGATTTAATGTAAACTATGCCTATTATTAGTATTATTAAATGTAAAAACACGTGCATTATTTCTTCTTAATAGTTGTTTTCTTTTTTTCTTCTCAAATTTATATTTCGCTTGTCATTGTATTTTAATTTTTAATTGAGTCTATTGTTTTACATACGTCGCCATTTTGTAATAAAATAAAGAGCACAGAATCTTCTTGTAATTTTTAAAACTAATTTTGTCCAGAAAAATCTTTCTTAATTTTTATTTATTTATTAATTATTATTATTATTATTTTTAATGGAAAGCCTAGAAACCATAGTCAAAGAAAAGAGAAAATTTGTTGGATAAATGGGAATAAAATTTGTTTTTGTTATATGAACGATGCTTTTTAGTTTATATCTTACTTGTTAGTGTCTTTACCAAGCGTAATTACCGCAAAATTAATAAACACAATTATTTCTCGTTATTTGAAACTATGCCTGTGTTCTTTGTATACATTTTAAACACACAATGGAGTGTTTATTGAAGACACTAGACTAAGCAACATCCTTTTATTAAATTATTTACTCTGGTAAATTGAATAAAACAATGTTGAATAGTTCAGTGTCTTCAATCAACAGTCCATTGTGTTTTTTTTTAAAAAATTAAACATAATTTTATAAAACTCAGAAACATTAAACCCGTCTCAAAAACCCTAATTATTATCTATTGTGTTTTATCACCTGTTACGTATTAGTACACTTGCAGGAATAGAAACACAATAATTGGGATGTAACAAAAGAAGTAAATGACGTCAACAATAATAGACATTGTTCGAATGACGTTAAAAATAGTTCTTACCATCCAGCACTTAAATTGAGTAATAAATGCAATAAACTCTTTATATTTTTTTTTGTGTGTGTGATTATGATGAAAAACAATTAAAAATTATAACAGATAAAACTTCAAAATTTATAATTATAATTACCCTTTTGAGCACCCGCTACTGTTACTTGTAAAATAACACTGACAGAATTTAGTAAATTCTGTGTTAAACGAAAATTAAACGATTCATTATACTTTGGTTCTGTAGTTTTCTTAGCTATAACTGTCTTCTTTGTTTTAGCAACTTTATTGTCTTTCAGGAACGTAACTTTGACATAAGAATCTGTAAATTAAGTAGAAAAAATAGAATAAAATTATATTTTAAAATATACCTAAACATTAATTAAATAGTATAAAAATAAACTAATTAAATACTATTTTAGTGATTCCAATACCAACAAGTAGATCGCGAATTACCGGTTGAGATATGTTAATATAAACATTATATAGGAAATTTTAAAATTCCTAATTAGTAGATCGCGATTCACTTGTTGGAAGACGGATTTAAATGCAAAATTTAAAATTCCCAACTAGTAGATAGCAATTATTTGGCTAATAAAAGTCTAATTTTTAAATAAAAATTGTTGAAAATACCAACCAGTCGCTCGCGAGTCACTTGTTGAACAAAATTTCTGTAATATTACTATAAACTTTAAAATTATCAGGAAAATGTTTATATTTAGTACCTGAATAATGTTCTAGAATACAAGGAAGGTGTGACTTCTATGAAATAATGTTAATAAACACTAATCTGCAGGGATTCGAATATACAGTACTTATTTGTTTATTTATTTCATGAATCAAAAGTATTTTTCGATAAAACAACCCCAAACGACGTATAAAATTTATGATCGATAGATGTAAGTATATACAGTAGTCTACTTTGTCCGGATCAATAAAAAATATATAGAAGATTCTTCTGTTTATAGAACTTATCTCGATCGATACAGTATTAAAGGACTTCAACATTAGTATAGTATTTGTTATAGAAGCATGTAGATATGTTTTCAATTAATGTCAATACTGTTATAACATACTTCTAATACTTCATAACTTACCTGTTAACTGTTACTAAGGTCAACATATCTATTTTTTTTTTTACCGTAACAAGTATTGTTGAGAAAGTTTGTTGTGTAACAATACCAAAAACAATACTTTTAATTGTTACATTATGAATTGTTTTTCCTTTTTTTGTATTATACAACAAATTTTCATAACAGCATTTCTTAGAAAATTAAATGTAACAACAGATAAATTATGAAATAAATATTCAACTATTAAATATTTAACATAATTTAAATTAAAATTATTTTGAATTCTCAACCGGTGAATCGCGATTTGCTTGTTGAAAGATGGTAATTTACACGCTAGACTTAAAAATATCGCGATTTATTGATTGAGCGATGAAGTAATAAATGTTACAAAGAAAAACCTTAGGCCGATATCAGAAGATTTTGTGGAAAGCGATTTCTGAGCGATACGATATCGATCCGATTGCTACAAATCATACAATGCGATTTTCGCTACACGAAGTCGCAACTACACGAACAAAAATGGCTGCCCGACGAAAGGCGTGTATCACGTAAGCGATTATTTTAATGCTAGCGACGGATGAAATAGCTGAAGAACATAAAAAAAAGAAGAAAAGCTTGGACGAGAAAATGGATCACGAACATAAAAGCGGCGGCGGCGGCGGTTCGTGATAAGCACCGAAAAACTTCATCACCCTCAAATTATCCAAAATCAAAACGATTGTATTAGGGTGGTTGCGTGCCTCATCCTCCGATGACAACACCCTCATTATTAAACAGCCACGAGTGGCCACTATACAAGAAACCCAAAGCTATATTAATAACATTCTTCTCTCAAAGTGTTTTTGAAGTACTGTGAATCTTTATGATTCCATAAAGGCCTTTCTTCACTGTATTTTTTCAATTCAACTTGGCATCAAAGATGGCGTCAATAATAAGATGATAAAACAAAGCACGTGAAACAATATTCCTACCAGATTACATCTATGACACATGACAGTCTAGTTTTTGATTTGATAGCTTATAACAGAAATATTATATTTTTTATCTTTTAAAATATATTATTTAATATTTATAATTAAATAACATTTTAATGGAATTGTATTCACAAACTGAATGTAATTTCAGAATTATTTATTTATAGATGATATGCAAATAATCTTATGAAAA